TTTGGTATTTAAGAAAATTTGGTAGATGACAATCCTTGAAGTATAAAATCGTCTATGGAGGTTCTCGTTTTGGTACTTTTATATTAAAAAGGGGAGGAGGTATTATTAAAAGTTCGGTCCGGCCGAACTTAATGTTTTTTTTTACTTGTTTCAATATAAGCCGTTCTCGGACTTCGGGCATACAGGTTGTTTTCACTCAATACTCTGCAAACAGTCTCTACAGTAACACAAGGCAAACACTGTATCTTATATCTGTGGCTGGTACTAACAGGTTTTTGGCCCTAGCATTTTTTGTCATCTGTCTGGGGTATTTCTGCAATACTGACTTTCAATCTCAAGTTTAGATTTGTTCATATATTAATGCGTTAATGATCTGATTGTGGCAGAATAATACAACAAATTCTGCAATTCTTTGTAGAATTTCCTTTCCAATATAATTTTAATATCAGACGCCGGGTATCTTTAGTGTAATGCTTTCGTCAGCCCTCTTTCCAGGAAAAAAATAATTATTTTTAAAACACACAATTTGCATATTTGTCTACTTTTTGACTCGATTGATTTAGAAATGATTTCTTCTGATTTTTCTAACCTGCACGAATAAGTCGAGTACATTTTTGAAGTTATACAATAATACAACGACACTCACATATTATAACGGTTTATACAGTAGTCGAATTAAAACTAAGTCCACGTTGGAAAATACAAGCAACAATTATGAAGATATGGTGCGCTGCAATTATTTTGATCGCAACTGTTAATTCAGTTAAGGTTCTAAAAACACAAATTTTAAACCCTTCGTTTGTTTTTTTTTTTTTTTTTTTCAAAATTATATCCTAAAAAAATCGATACAAATTAACATGAAATCGAAAAATACATATATTTATATGATTTACAAAAATAAATAGAAAGACACCTACGGGAACATAGGCGTAGATCGATCCAGAATGTCAGTATGTGCAGGTCATCAACTTAACTTATTTTTCATTACTCTCTCCGGGAACACACGGCTCGATCAGCTGATCAAATTTACCATTCTCTAGACAGTGCAATATTTGCCGATTGCTAATGCGATTCTGGATGTTTCTTGAATTCCGGCGAAAACCAGATGCACACCAAATTTCTACTCTGCTATTGACGGGTATACCATATCTATACACATATGATTCCAAATATTGACCACTCGAAGAATATACTTCATATATAATTGACAGATCATTTAGGAGGCTTCGATCGCATACAGCTTTTGAAAATAGAAGACATTTTAGAATTATAAAAAAGTGGGTATTAATAATAACCTGAACATGCAATCTTTCATTAGATAATTATTTTCGAACCTACTTCTGCATTTTGGAAACTGGTCTGAGAACTCTCCATCAATACATAATGAACTCCCTGAATATCTTCGCACATTGTTGATTACACATTCTAAATGAACGATTTCAAATTCATCAATAAAATCACCGGGTTTCATTGTTGCATTGCCCTGCATATGACGTTTTACAATCATGTTTTCAAGATTTAGTGGTATCTGACAGCGTTGCTCATCATCAGTGGATTCTGTGACACCTAAATAAGAGGCAAAGAGAGAAAATAATATATATGTGAATGTGTGTATACAGCAGGTTTTCAATGGGATAATTACAGTAACTCCAAGCGAAATTCGTACAGCTAAAGAAAAAAAATTATTTTTCTCACAACTTCCAAAAATCAAAATTTCCAAAAAAAATGTTTTTTTTACATTTAATTAGAAATAAATATTAAATGATTATATTTCAGTACCAAAGCCAAACTCGTACACTTCGTATAATTTAAAGTATTTCTAGACATTAATATTTTGTATACATTCCTTTACTTTTTACCATTTGCTGCCTATTTGGCATACTTTTAACAAGTTTTTCGCAAAAGCAAAACAAAACAACAAAGCTTTCTTCAAATATTCTTTGCATGATATGGTATGCTGGCGGATTTTTCCATCGAGATAACTCCATAAATTCTCTCTAGAGGTTTATGTCTGGACTCTGGTCTGATGTATCCATGACGTGGCAACAATTATATAGCAGACAAGACCGCACTTTATAAGCGTTGTGTTTCGGATTATTGTTTTGATATCAAGTAGAAAAACATTAAGTTCAGCCGGACCGATCTTTTAATACCCTCCACCTCAGGGTAAAGAAAACGTAGAACCCATTATGACACACTAATAACAATTTTTTAGACATATTCATATTCCCATGTGACAAAAATCATCAAAATACCGAATACCGGGTCCGCTATATGGAGCTATACAAAAACGAGGACCTATAAATGCAATGTTTCGCCAAAGGTGCTAGAACCCATTAGGACCAACAAATACCAGTTTTTAGACAAATCCGCGAAGAAACGTGGCAAAAGTCATCAAAATACCGAATATCGGAAGGTACCATTATATAGGAGCTATACCAAAACGTGGACCTATACATACAATGTTTCGCCACCGAAGCAAGAACCCATTCTGACCAACAAATATCAATTTTTAGACAAAAATGTGGCAAAAATCATCAAAATACCGGATATCGGGAGGTACCATTATATGGGGGCTATACCAAAGCGTGGACCTACACATACAATGTTTCGCCACACGAACTAGGTCCCATTATGGCCTTCAAATATCAATTAATGTGGCAAAAATCATCAAAATACAGAATATCGGATCCGCTATATGGAGCTATACGAAAACGAGGACCTAAAAATTCAAAGTTTCGCCAAAGGTGCTTGGACCCATTAGGACCCACAAATACCAGTTTTTAGACAAATCCGCGAAGAAACGTGGCAAAAGTCATCAAAATACCGAATATCGGGAGGTACCATTAAATAGGAGCTATACCAAAACGTGGACCTGTATATACAATGTTTGGCCACCGAAACAAGAACCCATTCTGACCAACAAATACCAATTTTTAGACAAATCCGTAAAAAATGTGGCAGAAATCACCAAAATACCGAATATCGGGAGGGACCGTTACATGGGGGCTATATCAAAACGTGGACCTATACATACAATGTTTCGCCACACGAACTAGGTCCCATTATGACCTCCAAATACCAATTAATGTGACAAAAATCATAAAAATACCGAATATCAGGAGGGACCGTTATATGAGGGCTATACCAAAACGTAGAGCTACACATACAATGTTTCGCCACACGAACTAGGACCAATTATGACCTACAAATACCAATTTTCAGTCAAATCCGTGAAAAAATGTGGCAGAAATCATTAAAATACCGAATATCGGAAGGTACCGTTATATGGGGGCTATACCAAAACGTGGATGGATATATCTCATTTTCAATACCAACAATCCTTGACAAAATACAAATGGTTCTGCTAAATTTTGACGGTCTACGTCATATAATGTGAGCTGTATCGTGATTTCAACAGACACACGACAGAGAGATGCATATCGTTAAATCGACTTAGAATTTTATGCTGATTATGAATGTATGTATATACTTCATAGGGTCTAGGATGAATATTTATGGATGTTACAAATGGAATGACAAAGTTAATATACCGTACTTCTAAGTTGGAGGGTATTAACATATCAATCTTCCCCAAGGCCGAGCTTTTCCTTACAGAGTGGCAAACTTTCTTTCAAAATGTTAAGGTACATAGTCTGATCCGTAATACACTCAATAAAATGCAATACAACAGGTCCACAGGCTGAAAATGAACCCCACAACATTACTGACCCACCACCACCGTGCTTCACTGTAGACTTCATATTTTTGGCAAGGAGCGCTTCATTTGCCTTTCTCCATACATAAGGTCTGCCATCTGAACCAAAATTTATGGATTTTGTGATGTTCAATTACTAACTTCACTTCAACATGGAGGCAAGTAACCCCAGCTTTCGTACAGGGAAGTTAATAGCTGTATTCACCTGGGATGAGTTTTTGAATCAGCGTTCCACCACCTCCAAACACTTACCATGCTGGATTTTCCATACGAGAAATATTGTGAACAGAAGATAAAAGCTTGTTTTGTTTCCTATCATTTTTTACTTTTTTTCTGGCAACTCGGTTCGGATTTAAAACAACTGAATTTTAACCGTTAATTAACACAGTCTTCGACATTCCATAGAACACTGCATTAAGAATAGTCCCAATAGGGAAATATATGTAGCAAAGAAAAGCGATTATCAATGGTTTTTCCATAATTGGAATATTCTTTAATTAAGAAAACATTGAGATAAGAAAATAATTCAAATTGGAGGATTACATTTTCGTACTGGAATAATCGAGATTACATTTTTTTACAGATATGGGGAAAATAACTTTTGAGGGATAACAGGAAAAGCAAGTAAAAAGCTGTAAGTTCGGCCAGGCCGAACTTTGAATACCCTCCACCATTTGGAACGAATTTGGAAATTAAAAAAAAACAGCCGAATAATACCTCTCAAATGAAAGCCGTTATATGAAAGCTATACAAAGACGTGTCATAGGCTGCAGTAACGATTACGAACTTTAAATGCGAAATTTGAAACATATCGTTAATATCATCGAAATTCCGAATAAAACGTGGTACCATTGTATGGGGGCTATAGAAAGACAAGGGCCTGCACAGACAATTTTCTGTCTTAGGCTGTAGTATCCATTCCGAACTTCAAATACCAAATTTGAAAGAATTCCGTTGAATAATGTCGCAAAAATAATCAAAATAACGAATATCGGGAGGTGTCGTTATATGGGGGCTAAACGAAGGCGTAGACCTGCACGGACAATTTTCTGTCATAGGCTGTAGTATCTGTTACGAATGTAAAAAAATAGTAAAGTTTTTGGATTTAAGATACGTAAATATACTTGGAATCTAGAGAAATAGCTAATAAATTAATTAAAACCCATTTTGGCTCCATACGGATTTTAGTTATTGAGATATGTGTGGGTATTTATTTTTACGCTATACGCAGAATTATGCGGGCAATTGCATAAAAAATAAATTATTTAAATATTTAGGCTTTTTCTTATTTATTTATTTTTTATTTATATGATCTCTCCATCAGCAGTTTGATTAATGGCAAGCCTTATTTATAATCAAAAAACAGTTATTGCACCTTTGTACTTTATAAACTAAACTTAAATTGCTATTCTAAAAAAGTCTTCGATCCTCGTCTGTTTCCTTCTTGAAGGTAGCGTATAAATCGGGTCGCATATATTTCACATTTGTCACAGCCACATAACCTTCGCGGGCGCATTCATTTTCCGTGCCCGGCGTAAAGCTGATAATGCCCAATAAAAAGAATATATCTTCTTCCTTCGGAAATGGTATCCTCACTTGCTGAACAAAACCACCGCCGCTGTCGCCACGACAAATACCATCGTTGTGACCATTGTATAGACAAAACTTATCCTCCGATAGGGTTTGACCAATCAAATCATGTACTATACACTCATGATATCCCTCCGATCGCATGGTAACTTGTTCCAAATTGTTATGTATCTCATTATAACCGGTTACAACGCCGCTAATATTCGAAGGGACAACATCACTGATAGTTCCACTGGCTGGTTTAATGCATATAGACGATACATTCTCGCCATAAATGAATGGTGACTCCAATTTGATAACGGCAATATCGGCGAAATTTCTAGTGCGAAGGCCCTCAAATCTATAAGAAAAAAATATTAAAACCATTAACTTAAATGAAGGTGAAGTAACAACGTAAAGGGGTAAATAAAATCTATAAATCAAGAGCTTCGAAATTTGGCAGAACAATTGGCATTATGTCTAGGATGGTTGGTATTGAAAATGAGATATATCGGTCCACGTTTTGATATAACCGTTCCTCGCGATATTCCGTATTTCGATGATTGTCGCCACATTTTTTTACCGATTTGTCTGAAAATTGGTATTTGTAGGTCTTAACAGGCTCTAGCTCGGTGGCGAAACATTGTATACATAGGTCCACTTCATTGTATAGTTCCCATATAAAGATACCCACCCAGATATTCGGTATTTTGATAATCTTAGTCACATTAACCTACGAAATTGTTTGAAATTTGGTATTTAAGAAGATTTGGTAGATAACAATCCCTGAAGTTTAAAATTGTCTATGGAGGTTCCCGTTTTGCTATAGCCCCCATATAACGGCCTCCTTCCCACTTTTTTTGGAAAGTTTAACAGCATTATCCAAACGGCTTTACTACTATTTGTAGTTTAAGGTAGGACACCTTTGAATTCAGATACTTTCATATAAATTTTTTTCTTTACACAAAGGTGGAGGGTATTAAAAGTTCGGCCAATACACAGCGTTTACAAATATCAGATCCCAATTCTTAGAGAACGACTCCAAACCAGACCTTAATCGGATCATAATAAATTATATAAAACAGTTAAGGAATTTCATTAAGGCAACTGAATTTCAAATATAACAGACTGTAAGCTGCCCGTCTTCTTTCAAAAACCTTAAGTGTAGAGCGCACAGCACGCATATACTGGCTTAAGTGTATGCCTATCAGCCTAACCTAACCTAAATTGTAGATAGCAACATTTAATTCGAACTTTGTAACCCTATGTGATCTTTATGTGATGAATATAAAAGGTTATATAATAGAATGTCTTTATTTGATCTCTTGCATGTCATGAACAAGTAAAAAAGCAGGGCCGAACTTTGAATACCCTCCACCATTTGGTACAAATTTGGCAATTTTCAAAAAAATATTAAATCCGTTAACAATTTCGTTTAAAATCTTAGAAATACCGAATGTAGCCGTATATTGGGGTCTATACGAGGATGTGGACCTGCATATTACGCACAAGCTACTACAATATTCAAATGCTAATATCATCAAAATGGCGAATATAGGGAGGTACCATGGGGGTTATAAAACGTGGACCTGCACAGGCAATTTTCTGTCATAGGCTGTAGTATTCATTAGGAACTTCAAATACTAAATTTGAAATAGTTCCGGTAAATAACGTCTCTAAAATAATTAAAATACCCAATATCGGGAGGTGCCGTTATAAGGGGGCTATACGGAGACTTGAACCTGCACAGACAATTTTCTGTCTTAGGCTGTAGTATTTATTACGAACTTCAAATACTAAATTTGAAACCATTCCGGTGAATAATGTAGCTAAAATCATCATAATACCGAATATCGGGAGGTACCGTTATATGGGGGCTATACGAAGACGTGGACTTGCACAGACAATTTTCTGTCTTAGGCTGTAGTATCCACTACAAACTTTAAATACGTAATTTGAAACAATTCTGGTGAAAAATGTCCCCAAAATTATTAAAATGCCGAATATCGGGAGGTGCCGTTATATGGGGGCTTTAAGAAGAGGTGGACCTGCACAGACAATTTTCTGTCATAGGTTGTAGCATTCATTACGAACAAAATTTTAAAAAACTGTAGTAACCATTACGAACTTTAAATAACAAATTTGAAACAATTCCGGTGGATAAATTCCCTTAAACCATTAAAACACCGAATATCGGGAGGTACCGTTATATGGGGGCTATATGAAAACGTGGACCTATTGTGAATATTATAAAAATCGCAAAATAAATTTACTTACTTTTCGGATACTGTTATCTGCTGAGCATCTTTGATTTGAATTTCCCCCAATTGGGGAGCACTAAACTCTCTTCGATATTTACCAGCAACAAATTTATATTGTGTATGGCTTATCAATCGCCTCGATCTATTATCCCAAAAACAGTGCGCAGCTAAAGTAAAGAATATTCAAAATAAAAGGCAATCAAAATGTGCAATTGATTTCATCCGATCTTACCCGAGAGAACGATTCGTGGTGTGATTATTGAGCCACCACAAATAAAGGTCCATTGTTTATTCACGTACTGATATATTGAGACATGCCATGGAACCTTATTGGGATCAGTTTGAATGCCACCTTTGGTCAGGGGAAACAGATTGACCAGGGGATGACCGCAGTCCTGTACACACGGTTCGCGTACCTTGTCAAACGTGCCATTGGGTAGACATGTCAAGTTTTGTCGATTTGAGAGTATTTCGGTCTGCCATCTGGTGTCTCGCTTGAAACCGGAAGCACAATTGATTTCAACTATGCTACCGACAGGTATACCATACCTAAGAAGCGACGGCTCCACGAAGTGGCCACTCGGCGTGAACACATTGTAAATTGTTGAGAGTCCAGTCACAAGTTGGGGATCACAAACCACTACGTGAGGGAAAAGTTTCAGTTATATATCATTTTTTAGCTCCCACCCAGACCTACCTCTGCACTTGGGAAATTCATCAACAAACTGTCCATCCAAACACAGCAGGCTGCCCAAAGACTGCATTCTGTTATTTGTTGTGCATTCCAAGTGAACGATTTCAAATTCATCCACCACATCACCCGGACCAATGGTTTTATTTCCAGTAATGTGTCTCCTCACAGTGACACCGTTAAGCTCCATTGGTATCCTACACTGTGAACTGTCTTTCGACGATGGCGCGGAAGTACTACTGCCGGAAGTTAAAGACGAGCGTTTTCTTGGCGTGTTACACAGTTCCCAGGCCTCGTCGGATCCATCAACGCAATCCGTGACGTTATTGCATTTTGCATTGCCCGCAACACAACCACCATAGCCACATTTAAAACCAATATGACAATCGTAGCCGGCACACACTTCTATAATTTCATCCGAGCCATCCTTGCAGTTTTTGATGCCATCACACATATCGTCACGACTAATGCACTCTTTGGAAGTCAGGCATTGCATTTGATCGGGACTGTCAAACCAAAAAAATAAATAAAAATGGAATCAACACAAATTGTATATGGTGTAGACCTCACTTACCCACAAGTACCGCGATGATGTTGGGGATCTTCATTTTTGCATGCAAACTCATCGGATCGATCGGCACACTCTGTCGTATTGTCGCAACGCACTACGCCGGCAACGCATGCTCCATAGCTGCACGTGAAACTATACGAAGGACAATCAGGAGCAAAGTGTATACAATTCTCGGCAATTTCATCGGAACCATCACTGCAGTCTACTGGACCATCACATCGTTTCTCCACCGATATACAGCTGCCATCATCACAATCCCACTGCCATTCACCGCAATCGGCCAATGCTATGTTGTATCACGCGAACAAAATATATATTCTGAGACCATTAAAAACAAATAATTCTTTAAGAAGAGAGTATACACTATCGAACTAGGCACCAAATCGATAAGTCTACCAGATCGATTTTCTTGGGAATAATTTTAATAAATTATTAAATTTCGTTAACTTGTTCGATGGTGTGCTGCTCACCTTTGCAGAGTTGTGATACTTTCTGAGAATCGAATGGCTCATGTTATAAAGCGGAACCATCATCGTCGCTTCTGCTTACATTTAGATAAGTAGTTGATCAACGCCTTACTTTAAGAGTGCATAGTTCTTGTGCCGACATCTTGATACAATAGTAGAGTCTTTTCCAATTTCGCAATAGATGACGTTCCAAGACTACCAAAATTCAGTGACGGTGAACCATACATTTTTCTTATGGGATGTTTCGCTTTTCACAATCAATTAGGCCTAGTTGTAGATAAAAACTATTTCAGAGATTTTATACTTCAACAAATAAAAAAAGCTGTAAGTTCTGCCGGGCCAGGCCGAACTTTGAATACCCTCCATCATTTGAAAAGAATTTAGCAATTTTCAAAAAAATAAAATCCGTTAAAAATTCTGTTAAAATCTTAAAAATACCGAATATAGCCGTTTTATTAGGGTTTATACGACGACGTGGAGCTGCATAGGAAACGTTTGTCATAAGCCATTAAAATATTCAAATGCGAAATTTGAAAAAAAAAATCAAGTGAGTAGTGTAGCTTAACTCAAAATACCGAGTATAGGGAGGTACTGATATATGGGGTCTATACGAAGACCTGTCTTAGGCTGTAGTATCCATTACGAACTTCAAATACCAAATTTGAAACAATTTGGGTTAATAATGCCGCTAAAATCATCAAAATGCCGTATATTGGGGGATACCGTTATATGGGCGCATTACGAAGACGTGAACCTGCACAGACAATTTTTCTATCGTAGGCTGTAGTATCCTTTACGAACTTCAAATACCAAATTTGAAACAATTCCGTTGAATAATATCGCTAAAATCATCAAAATACCGAATATCGGGAGATGCCGTTATATGGGGGCTATGCGAAGACTTAGACCTGCACGCACAATTTTAAGTCATAAGCTGTAGTATCCATAACGAACTTCAAATGCGAAATTTGAAACATTTCCGGTAAATAATGTCGCTAACATCATCAAAATACCGAATATGGGGGGTACCGTTATGTGGGGGTTATACGAAGACGTGGACCTACAATTTTGTATCGTAGGCTGTAGTATCTATTACGAACTTCAAATACCAAATTTTAAACAATTCCGTTGAATAATATCGCTAAAATCATCAAAATACCGAATATCGGGAGGTACCGTTATATGGAGGCTATACGAAGACCTGGATCTGCACAGACAATTCCTTGTCATAGGCTGTAGTAACTTCAAATACCAAATACCGAAAATAGGGAGGTACCGTTATATGAGGGCCATACGAAGACGTGGACCTACACAGAAAATTTTCTGTCTTAGGCTGTAGTATTTGTTACGAACTGCAAATACAAAATTTGAAACGATTCCGGTGAATAACGGCGCTAAAATCATCAAAATACCGAAAATAGGAAGTTAATAATATTTGGGGGCTATACCAAAACGTGGACCTACATGACCAATTTTCAATACCAAAAGTCCTGCAGACATAATATAGATTTGAGTAAAATTTTATCAACCTACTTCATTTCGTTCGGATGTTAGAGTGATTTCCACAAACGTACGGACATCGCTTAATCAACATAAAATTTTATGTGGGGTCTAAAATGTATATTTCGAGGAGTAACAAACGGAATGACAAACTTAATATACCCTCCATACCATGGTGGATCAGATCCAATCAAATGGTTCAAACCTGAACGACCTCCCCGAAGTCCTTATTAATAGTCTAACCTTCACTCACGTAGATCTAAATGAGACTATTGTCCCCTAGAAGTCAGCGATAGGTTGATTGGATCGTACGGAAGTTAAGAATGACAGTACGCATGATCGGGTCGGTATTCCAAATCCATTAGGTCCGATATTGGTAGAAGTCGATACATTGAAGCCTTATAGGCAGAACAACCTATTATGCTTGAAATTTGCCACTAGAAAAATTTCAAAATTAATTTTTGGTTTTGCGGAAATTCGTGGACAAGAACCTGGCTTCAAATCCAAGGACAAGGGATCTGTAGTTAAACAGCACAGTAAGAAGAATTCCTCTAAACTAGCTTAGGGACTATCTTTTTGGGGGAAAAAGCGAAGGCTGCTAATAGAGAACACTTGACGGAGGAGGCACGGCGCGCTATAATTTTTCTTCTAAGCGGATGCGCTTGGCCAATTTTCAATACCAAAAGTTCTGCAGACATATTATAGATTTGAATAAAATTTTATAAAGCTACTTCATTTCGTTCGGAAGTTAGAAGGATTTCCACAAACCTGACCGACCGACCCGTCGCCCTAATTAATAGTCTAACCTTCACTCACGTGGACCTAAATTTGACTATCGTCACCTGGACCGTATGGAAGTTAAGAATGACAGTACGCATGATCGGGTCGGTATTCCAAATCCATTAGGTCCGATATTGGTAGAAGTCGATACATTGAAGCCTTTTAGGCAGAACAAACTATTATGCTTGAAATTTGCCACTAGAAAATTTTCAAAATTAATTTTTATTTTTGCGGAAATTCGTGGACAAGGACCTGGCTGCAAATCCAAGGACAAGCGATCTGTAGTTGAACGGCACAGTAATAGGAATTCCTCTAAACTGGCTTAGGGACTATGTTTTTTGGGAGAAAAAGCGACAGCAGCTAATAGAGAACACTTGACAGAGAAGGCACGGCCAGCCATAATGTTTCTTCTAAGCGGATGCGCTTGCAAAAAGGAAACTACTGGTTAAGTCAGCGCCACTCCAGAGAAAGTCTTCCTCTTCGTTCCAAAACATGGGAATCTTTTTAAGGGACATTGAAAAATATGTCTAGAATATCCTTGCTCACAATATATTCGTAAATAGTGATAAGAGACTCTCTCGCCCTGCCAAATCAATGGCAAATGAGAATTCGATAGAGAATACGTGTGCTTTGTTTATACTTTTTCGTTCGAGACTGCACCTAACTGGCCTAGAAGATCACAATCGGTGACTATCATTGATTGCTTTTCGAAGGTTGTTTGAGGAGGGAATATCTACTATTCATGCCCTAGCTGCCCTTTCATCCTATTCAGTTTCAGGTTTTAACAGTAGGCAAGGTACATTTGCTATTGGACTTACGTTTCCTAACTTTGAAGCTGTATGACATGATTTGATTTGATTCACCATACTTGCCGGATAGTGCATAAGTTCCTAGCAGATAGATTCTATAGTGGTAGGGTGGATGAACGACTATCCAGATAAATGCCTGAACCTCCTCCGATGGTGTGCTTTTGCCGTTTACAGATCCTCTGGCTCGTACAGCGAGTCATGGCTGAATGAATATCTTGTGGTCTTATATACGTACTTAATCGGGTGAAACATGATCGAAAATTATATTAACCGGTAATATACTGTCAAATTTTGCCTACTGTTCGATCTTGAATATTCGTATGAATATCTGAGTGTCATAGAAAATTTGTCTTAAAAGGCACATACAGAGCTAAAAAAGGCCTTCTTCAGCTAACATGGGCTGATGCTGATAAGCGGCGAGCTTACTCCCGAAGGTGTGTTGCTATAATACCGTAAATAATACGTCCTTTTATTGCCACTTTTCTCATTTGGCAATTTATCACGTTCTTAATATCTAGGCATGAGATTACTAATATTTAGCCAGGGCTGAACTATCGGTTAGTACTCCAATAGGGCCATCTACGGTGGGATAGGTGGGGAAAGAATTTATAGGGCCTTGGTATCGGGTACACTTCAGGGAATTTTGATTAACAATTACTCAAATCAATTGCCGTTTTTCATTAAACTTTGCACAACACAATATTTGTTTATCAATATTAGATCAAGTGTGAAAAAAAAGAAATATATATGTATAAATATATGCTTATTTTGGAAAAAATTTAACGTTATATTCGTTATATTATATTTCGATATATATATAAATATATATATATCGAAATATAATATAACGAATATAACGTAAATTTTTTTCCAAAAAAAGCATCCATATCATATAAAGTGGAGTAGTAGTATGGTCCACCCCTTTGGTACCTGCTTATTAAAAGACCAACATTTCGAATAATACGAATTTTCTGGCAGAATTTGCAAAATCAGCAGCATTGAATTTTAATCGATCCCTTCTGGCAAAAATTTTGGGTAGCCTGGCTGGAAATTCTATTTGCTATAATAAAAAAATCACCGGAAAAGCATCAAGAAATTGTTGATAAGGCATGGGTGTTCTACATTATCTCTGCGAAGCGTGTTTAAGCGATTTCGTCTATAATTTTTGTTTGGGATTTCCATTTTAAGAACACTTGTTATATGACTGATATCAATACATTTTCCCCAAACACTGACATTTGGTCCATAAAGTCATCAATAAGAAGGGAGCAAGAAGATTATGTTAATGCTGAGGGGTAGCTAATTTGAATTGCACACCTAAATTTGAAAGCGGAAAGTTTTACTAGCTAAAAAATAAAAGCCTAGATGCAACTATTTCCATTTGTTTTTTAATCGTATATATTAAAAATACCTATAAAAAAGGTCCGTCAATATAGAAAAGAATGAGATCCAATATTGTCAGATACATGATAGTCATCTCTCCGTCATTCAGAAATAAGAGACAATTCTTTTCGCCACCTGCTTAGATTCAGCATCGAATACAGTACAGACTGGTCTATCATCAATGAACTTAGCTGGTAGGAATATGGATTTGTTGATACAGATATGCTTGGATAACCTATAGCAAGAAGAGCACCGAAGAAGTCTTGTGGCATCGATAGGGTACCTGATATTGCTGTCATTATCCTTCAACTCACAATAATGTTTAACAACTGTTTCAACATTGACTA